TTTGTGGAGAGGGATTTATTTCATGGTGAGACTGTTCCTGAGAGGCATAATTTGGCATATTTTCCAACAATCCATGATATACAGAATCACATTTATAAAGCAATTAAAGATATAGACACCGGTGAACTGCAAGTTATAAGTACACCTGTTACTGTGAGTATTCAATATATATGTATACACACTGCTGTTCATTTATTTATCCATCTATGACATCATTGCAGTACAGAAAGAACTGAAGCTTAATTGGGTCAGTTTTGTACTATGACATACCATTACCCATATTTGGGCATATACCATTACCCATATTCAGACATATATCATTACTAATAACCATATTTGGTCATATATCATAACCCATATTTGGATTTATATCATTACCCATATTTGGACATGTATCATGAGCAAATATTTGGACATATATCATTACCCATATTTGGACATATATCATTACCCATATTTGGACATGTATCATTACCCATATTTGGACATTTATCATTACCCATATTTGGACATTTATCATTACCCATATTTGGACATTTATCATTACCCATATTTGGACATTTATCATTACTCATATTTGGACATTTATCATTACTCATATTTGGACATTTATCATTACTCATATTTGGACATTTATCATTACTCATATTTGGACATTTATCATTACTCATATTTGGACATTTATCATTACTCATATTTAGACATTTATCATTACTCATATTTAGGCATTTATCATTACTCATATTTAGACATTTATCATTACCCATATTTGGACATTTATCATTACTCATATTTGGACATTTATCATTACTCATATTTGGACATTTATCATTGCTCATATTTAGACATTTATCATTACTCATATTTGGACATTTATCATTACTCATATTTAGACATTTATCATTACTCATATTTGGACATTATTATTACTCATATTTAGACATTTATCATTACCCATATTTGGACATTTATCATTACTCATATTTGGACGTTTATCATTACTCATATTTAGACATTTATCATTACTCATATTTAGGCATTTATCATTACTCATATTTGGACATTTATCATTACTCATATTTAGACATTTATCATTACTCATATTTGGACGTTTATCATTACTCATATTTAGACATTTATCATTACTCATATTTAGACATTATTATTACTCATATTAAGACATTTATCATTACCCATATTTGGACATTTATCATTACTCATATTTGGACGTTTATCATTACTCATATTTAGACATTTGTCATTACTCATATTTAGGCATTTATCATTACTCATATTTGGACATTTATCATTACTCATATTTGGACATTTATCATTTCTCATATTTAGGCATTTATCATTACTCATATTTAGACATTTATCATTACCCATATTTGGACATTTATCATTACTCATATTTGGACATTTATCATTACTCATATTTGGACATTTATCATTGCTCATATTTAGACATTTATCATTACTCATATTTGGACATTTATCATTACTCATATTTGGACATTTATCATTACCCATATTTGGGCATTGCATTATGTTATTGCTATACATTATCAGCACATATCACTCTATTGCGTTTTGTCGGCTCTGAATCTGCATAACATTTGACATTAAATTTGAAAATGAGAAAAAATATTAATGTAAACAAACAAAGTACTTCAAGACTTGTCAACTTTAAATGTTTGTTTGAATTTTCCCCTGTGAGTCATATGATGAGTGATATGTGCATTCATGTTCCCAGGCCACAGCATTTTATGCTACATATCATCTGACACACCAATCAGATTTTGGGCATTAAACAAGCCTCAATGGATAATACCATTGCAGATTAAACATGCTGATGATATAGCATGATAATGTTTTATTTATTTTTCTAGTGTAATGTAACCAATTTAATTCCTTCTGATTAATATTGTGTTTCAATAAACCATTTACTTTTAATTCTAACTGCCATATTTTTTTCCTATAAT